ACTTTTTTTCAGGTATTAAATGCTTAAAAGTATCTTGAAACTATTAAATTTTAGATTCAAATAATAATATAGCACATTTTTATTAGCTATTTTACAGATTCTTGAATAATGTTCAATGTAAAAACCTCAATAGAACATTAGGAATGAAAAAATAAAATCACTTAATTTAGTAACAACCATGATTAACAATGTAATGTACCAATAAAGTCACAAGGGCAATTTTAGTTTCTTTGTTTAATAATAAATTTTGTATCCTATATTCTATGATAGAATAGAAAAAAAGTATCTTATACGTCTCACTTGACAAGGTATTATGAGCATTGTCCAGCTCATAACATTCTTTTAATACACACTTTCTAATGGCATATTATTTTATGATTATTCACAACTGTTGTTGTTGTTGTTCTTATGGGCCATGGAGTCAGACCCGACTCATAGCGACCCCTCCTTGGGTTTCCGAGGCAGTATCACTACGGAAATAGATTGCCCAGCCTTCCTTCCGAGGAGTGGCTGGTGGGTTTTTACTGCCAGCCTTCTGGTTAGCAGTCAAGTGGCTTAGGCACTATGCTACCAGAGCTCCTTCTGCAAACTAATCCTGTTAATTCTGGACATTTGAGTTTTCCCTCATTTTTACTATAAACATATTGGACTAAAATATTTTTTGAGTATACCTGAATATTTCCATAGGATGTGGAAGTGGGAAAGTGGAATTGATAAGACACAAGGATCTCTCTATATTGTTTTATCACAGACTCTATGAAATTTAAATAATTTATTAAGACTCTCTCATTAGTTTGTTTCTCTTCTCCCGAGACCATTAACATGGACTCCTAATCTTGAATTCATGTTTCAGAAGCATCTCTTTCCAAGTAATCATCTTCTACATCAAAAAAGGGCTGGAAACCATTCTCAAACTGAGACTTATCTTATAGAAATAAGTTATTAATTCTTTCAGTTAAATAAAGTACATCTAGATTCAGCTGTTTTAAGTTATATGCATCCTAAAAGACAACATATGAAAAGCAGAATATTTTTACTATGTCAAATGATCTGTAAGGAATGTCACAAAACTTTAAACTTAATACACATTTATAACTAAATGATTATGCAATCATTCTAACAACTACAAAACACTCTGCTTTACTTACCAGTTGTATAGCTATCATGAGAACTGTTTTAAGAGAAAATGTCCTGTCACACAAGTCAAATAAGTCTTCCAAACTAGGTCCAAGCAGTTCCAGCACCATAGCATTGTATTTACCACAAGGGCCAAAATAGTAAACTTGAGGTATACCATCTAGAAGAAAAGAAAAAGTCATTTAAAAATTTCATCAATTTAAATACCAAATTAATTTTTCTTCCTAGAAAAATATATAGTTTTAAGACTATAGTTTCAAGAACTGCAGTAGTATGTTTACTTATTTCATACACAAAACCTTCCCTAACCAAACCTCTCCCTATATAACTTAGGCTAGATGTTTTCACTGTATTCTGGGCTGCCCTTCTACCACAGCATTCACTGAACATCATTATATCAATGTTTTGTTGTTTGTCTCTACTTTCTCACTACAGAAAGGCACCAGGCTTCTTAATTTCTGTATTTCCATGGCCTGAACAAAAGCTTAGCACATCAGAAAGGTCCCATTTTTACCGAACAAGGAGTCAACTGCTATGTTCAATAAGCTTGTGCCTTACCCTTGATTGTGGGCAAGAGTCACAGGACACTGCTCACCTAATTAGGTTAATGCTACATGGTAAAGGTGTTATAATTAAGGTCTCTAACAGGTGACTGTGAGTTATTTAAAAGAGAGAAGATCCTATTGGCCTGATCTAATCAGATGAGCCCTTTAAAAAGGTCTAGAGATCAGAGACAGTCAACGCATTAGATGTGCTCTCCTGTTGGCCTAAAAGAAGCAAAGAGCCATGTTGTGGAGAGGGTCAAATGCCAGAGAATCAGTGGACAATAACTTAAGGCTTTAGGCCCACAGTTGTGAAAAACTGCACTCTACCAACAACCAGTAAAAGCTTAAAAAAGGTCTCCAAGCTTCAGATAACATCAAAGTCCTAGCTCAATACCTTGATTTTAGCAGATGTCATATTATACTGGGAAAATCTGATGCAAAAGATCTCTTACAAGTATTAAGAAGCTAAGATGTCACTTTGAAGACTAAGATGTTCCTAACCCAAGCCATGATATTTTCGATCGCCTCATATACATGTGAAAGCTGGACAATGAATAAGGAAAACTGAAGAATTATTGATGCCTTTGAGTTGTGGTGTTGCCAAAGAATACTGGAAATTCCATGGACTGCCAGAAAAACAAACAAATCTGTCCTGAAAGAAGTATACCCGGAATGCTCCTTGGAAGCGAGAATGATCAGCCATTGTTCTCACATACTTTAATCATGTTGTCAGAAGGGACCATTTCCTGAAGAAGGATATCATGCTTAGAAAAGTAATGGGTCGGCAAAAAAGGGGGAAGACTCTCAAGATGGACTGACAACATGGTTGCCACAATGGGCTCAAGCATAAGAGAGATTGTGAAGGTGCTGCAGGATCAAGCAGTGTTTCATTCTGTTGTACGAGGGGTTGCTACGAGTCAGAGGTACCCAACAACAACAACATTCTTCCTTTTAAATACTTAATGGACACTTGATAAGGTGTCCTTATCTGCACCTGATATCTAGCAATTTAATGAAGGAGGTAAAGTGAACCCTTTTGTCTTAGCTGTCTCGTGCTGCTATAACAGAAATATCGCAAGTGGATGGCTTTAACAAACAAATTTATTCTTTCACCATTGAGGAGGCTAGAACTCTGAATTCAGAGCGCCAGCTCTAGGAGAAGGCTTTCTCTATCTATTGGCTCTGAGGGAAGGTCCTTGTCTCCTTTCAACATCCATGGGCTTGGCACCCTCTGGGGATCTCCATGTGTCCTAGCATCAACTTTCCTCTGGGTCTAGGAGGTTCACAGCACAGGGATCCTGCATCCAAAGGACACAGTCCATGCCTGACTCTTCTTGCCTGGTGATAATAAGGTCCATCTGATCTCTGCTCCCTTGTTTAATCCTTTTTATATCACATAGGAGACTGACTCAAGATACAACCTAATCCTTTAGACTACGTTTGGCCTCATTAACACAATTGATTCTAATCCTTCCTCATTAGCATCACAGAGGTGAGGATTACAACACACAAGATAATTACATCAGATCACAAAATAGAAGACAATAATCATTGCCTAGCCAAGTTGACTGGAGCTCTGGTGGCGTAGTGCCTAAGGCATTTGACTGCTAATTAGAAGGATGGCAGTTCAAACCCACCAGCCACTCCTTGGAATGACGGCTGGCCAATCTACTTCCATAGAGATATTGCCTTGGAAACCAAGAAGGGGTCACTATGAGTTGGATTTGACTCAATAGCAGTAAGTTAGGTTTTTTTTTGTTTTAGCCAAGTTGACACATTTATGGGGGGGGGGGACACAATTCAATCCATAACACTTTCCAGTAACAATACCAGAATACAAAATATCTTTAAGTGGCAAATGGAACAAATTGCTTTAAACATTTAGTAAAAATGTATTATATTTGGCAGTGAAATAGGAGAATCATAAAACATCCATGAGTAGAAGATGATATTTAAGCTGGGCTTTAAAAACTTAGGATTCTGAAGGTTAATATGGGTCAAGTAAGCAAATTCCAAACATGGAGAAACAGCAGGACCAAAGGGAGAGACGAACAAAGCATATTAGAGAATAATCAGCAATCCAGTTTGGATAAAACACAGGGTGCTAGAAAGTTTGCTTGATACCAGATGTTGCAAACTTGTATGTCAAGTTTGCATGGCAAGGCACTAGATAGATAGAAAGGAGCTACTGAATGGATATAAGTAAATATTATGAAAGGAATTACACTTTAATGTAATTACTCTAAGACATAATGTATACTGTAGATTAAAGGCAGAAATAAAAAAAAATAACAAGATTGCAATAATTTAGAGGTAGGTAGGACTTCCATTAAAAGAGTAACAGTAAAAGGAAAAAAAAAGATCAAACACAGCATGTAAAATATCTACCAATATCTATAAGCAGAAAGCACACATTAATGTTTGGGAAGGCAATGAAAATAAAAACACACACTATTTGTTGTTAGGAGCTCTGGTAGCATAGTGCCTAAGGCACTTGACTGCTCACCAGAAGGCTGGCGGTTCAAACCCACCAGCCACTCCTCGGAAGGAAGGTTGGGCAATCCTACTTCCGTAGTGATACTGCCTCAGAAACCCAAGGAGGGGTCGCTATGAGTCGGGGCCGACTCAACAGCAAAACAACAACAACAACAACATTTGTTGTTAGAATATTTTTGTAAATTAGCTCTATAAATGTCTATTTGGAGTGAGGATGTTATACATACAAAATACATGTAGCAAACTCCTGAATAACCTAAGTGATACTTTTTTAAATTCTTAAGTGAGTCTATCATCTGTCAGTCTGTGGTACTGTGCTGCATGTTGCTGTGAGGCTGAAGGCTATGCCACCAGTATTTCATGGTGGACAGGGTTCAGGGAGCTTCAAGACTAAGACAGAATTGGAAGAACAAAGGGGCTATCCAATTCTCAAAGTATTGGCTAGTGAATACCTTAGGAACAGCAGTGAAATGTTATCTGATATATTACTGGAAACCTTTATGAATAGCCCTGAAACACTCATTGTCTAATACAATGCAAGACCACCAGCCCCTCAGATGAGAAGGCACTCAAATTACGAGTAGGAAAGATCTGCCTCCTCAAAGGAGAGTCGATCTTAGTAAAGAAGATGGAGTAAAGCTTTCAGGACCTCCATTTGCTATGCGGCACAATTCAAAATGGGAAGAAACAGCTGCAAACATCCATTAATGATCACAACATGAAATGTACAAAATATGAATCTAGGAAAATTGGAAGTTACCAAAAATGAAATTGAATGCATAAAGGAAAATATCCTAGTAAAAAGAGAGCCTAAAGACTGGGAAAAAAATATTTGGCAATGACATATCTGACAAGGGACTTATCTCTAGAATTTATAGAAAACTCCAATACCTCAACAGCAAAAAGACAGTTGAAAAAAAAAATCAGTTGCAAAATGGGCAGAAGACATGAATAGACACTTCACCAAAGAGGATATTCGATGGCCAACAAACTCATGAAGAAATGTTCACGCTCATTAGCCATTAGAGAGATGCATATCAAAACAACGAGATCATCTTGCCCCCGCACTAATAGCAAAGTTCAACAAGACAGAAAATAACAAATCCTGGCAAGGATGTGGAGAGATTGGGACTCTCATACACTGCCAGTGGGAGTGTTAAATGATATAATCACTATGGAAATCAGTATGGCGATTCCTGAAAAAGTTGGAATTAGAAATATCATTTGATCCAGCAATCCCATTGTTGTTGTTGCTTTTGTTATGTGCCGTCAAGTCTCACATTACTTAGGTATATATCCTAAAGAAGTGAGAGGCAGGATAAAAACATATATACGGTTGGGCAATCCTACTTCCGTAGTGATACTGCCTCGGAAACCCAAGGAGGGGTCACTATGAGTCGGGGCCGACTCGACGGCACATAACAATAACATAACGCAGACCCATGTTCATCATAGGACTATTTACAACAGCAAAAAGATGGAAACAACCTATGTGCCCATCCACAGAAGAATGGATAACTAAACAATGGTACATAACACACAATGGAATACTATTCAACACTAAAGAATGTAAAATATCACATAACGTGTATAAACTTGTAGGACATTATGGTGAGTGAAGTAAGTGAATCACAGGAAAAATACTGTAACTAGTTTATTATTGTAAAAAGTTAAGGAAAGGTTTATATATGGAAGGAAACTTTCTTTGTCGGTTACCAAGGGTGGGAGGGGAGGAAACACTGCTGCACAGGTAGAGACAATTATTGATCTGGGTGAAGGGAAGGCCAGTGTACTAAAAGGGAGTGATCAACATGGTGGCACTGACAAAGGCGAAGACATAGAAAGGTATATGGGAGGTACAGACAACAAAGATGAATCCTTTTGCATGCAGAGTACTGCGTTGTCAGTGATGGCAAGCATTTATCTACAGGTGAATAGACAGATGGACAGGCTAAACAGTCAGGTATGTCTAGGCAGGAAGTAGAGTGCCCACGACCACGTATAGAGTTAGCAGACAATGTTTCCACATGTGTATTTGTATATGCTTTAAGGATGTTCAGGTATATTGTAGAGCTGACAAGGGGCAAGGCTGCAGTGGCTTCTTGGCTACAGCCAGCTA